GGGGGGGGGGGGGGGGGGGGGGGGGGGGGGGGGGGGGGGGGGGGGGGGGGGGGGGGTAGCACGGCCAGTTTGTTTCTTGTTGTATACAACCTCCTTACCAATGACAAGCTCCTGCGTGACACTACCACAAACCTGAATTTCTTCCGGCTCGTCAGGAACAACGAGGGTGTCCACCACGGTTGTGTCAAAAGCCAGTTCCTGATCGATTGTCGAAAGAAACAATAAACAACAAAAACGGCGAGAAGGTTCGGGCTGGCGGGGGGACAAGCGAGCACCCTGAGTCTTGGGGCGGGGCATTGCTCCCCATACACGGCTCCAAAACAGTGCGTCCGCCAACAGCCGTGACAAGCGCCCGGGCACGAGTGTAGAGACAGCGGCATTTGCCCGGTTCAAGTGCCTTGATGCCCAGAGGGCGGCCGGGAGGGGCTGGGGGGGAAGGCCTCCTCGTATGCGTACCTTGTTTTCCAGGACCTGTCTCATGGCCGGGCCGCTGAGGTCTTCGTAAACCCCCTGCGAGGCGCGGTCGCTGACGGTCAGCAAGCAAGCGTTCACGTGAGTCCTGCGGGCCCCTAAGATAACCAGCAGCCGAAAACGAATGCGAGAGAGAAAAGAACAAGGGGCGGGGGCGTCAAGAGAGAAGGAAGGAGAGACGAGAGATTCACATTTCTCAATTACAGCTCTCCTTGCGGCAGAGAGAGTGAACGAGTGAGTGTAAGGATGTGCCTTCAGTCATTCACACGTTTGGTTTTACCCGATGGGATAATAGAGTCGATTAGGGCTCTCTCTTCAGAAGCCAGTGAGTGCTCAATCATAGTGAGAAAGGCCCTGCTCTTGACCCAGTGCACAAGTCTTGCTTTTGCGCACGCACGCACGCAGAGATTGGACGTACGTAACGTCAACAGCATGAACAACAAAAAAACAGCACGCCGGGTGAATCGCGCACTCGAAGCAACGAAATCGCGGTCACCCGGGCCACTACTCCCTCCATCACCAAACCCGTCGCAACTCGCCGGTTCAACCTGTGCAAAACAAGACAAACTGCGAAGAAAACTATGCCGACATTCAAAGTCTCGTCTGCTAAATATACCGAGCCGTTATTCAGCCCATTTCTCTCACCGGACCCCTTCCCGTGCGTGTTTCCATGATTGCTGTGCCCTTGGCAACACGCACTTCCACACTCGCCAGGTGGCGCCGGCGGCGATACCCCCCCCCCTCCGTTTGTCGCACACTTTACTGCCCCCCCCTTCTGGCGTTCTGCGGGCGGCGAGGGCGGGAAAGACACGTACCCCGTGGGTCCGCCGACGCCACCGGGACCGTTATCCCCGGCGGCGGCGAGCGGCGACACCGGCGATGGTGTCTTTCCCGTAGCCAGGGCGACCGCCTAAACGTTTCGAGCAAAACGGTTAAGTGTCTTTTATTTCTCATGAAGAGGGCGGGGGGTGGTTCCTAGATTGGGTCGTACTCATGCTCTTTCCTGACCGCAAGCACCACGCTGTGTGATACTCACAGGCGATCGCCTAAGCGTTCCAGCAAGAAAGGGGAAGTTCATTTTTGCCGTCAAGAGGGGGGAGGGGTGGTGCCCAGACTAGGTCTTAACTCGGGGGAAATGGCAGCACGACACACACACACACACACACACACACCCTACCGAGTCGTGTCCGTGTCTCCACCTTCCCTAACAACATGCACGTCTGAACTGATGCACGACCAATGCTTCAATAGCAAAACAACAAAAAGTCCTGGCCGACGGGTATGTTTTTATTTCAAAGCAAGCGCACCGAGACTCAGAAGTGCGCGCTTTAGCACACGGCGTTCTTTAACCTTCGCGTGGAAGCAGCCGATACCCGACGGAGGGGGAAGCTCGCCGATCAGGATGGCGGGGAGATGTTGTCCCGCTGCCAGCTCGCCTTCCCCCCGGGGCACGCACAGGAGCGCGTTGGCCGACTTCATGGATAGTAACCTGAGACAATCCCCCACGAATCCCACACAAAATTCAGCGGCGAAAAAAGCGTCACACAGGAGTAAAATCAGGGATCACTATGCATGTTTTTCCCCGAGTTCTGTGGTATTCGGGAGGTGCGGGAGAGGGAACTTCTCGATCGAGAGCAAGTGTTTTCCCGCAACACGAGACTGGCGCCGATCGGTTCGATGAAGATGACATGCACCCGTACACCGGCCAAACTACGACGGTCACCCCTGTCGTCGTAACGCCGGAATTTTTAGCCAATGACACGAGCGAACTCACTCCGGCTACAACCGACGACTACAACGCCCCCCCTCAACCTCTACGACTTCCGGCCACACCGCTGACGACTATTTATTGCATGACATGACTCGTCTCACCTACAGCTCATCTGGTTGCCCGTGCTAGCCGCGTCGAAACGGCCCGCGATGCTGTTCCAGGACACCAACGCGCGGTGGTACTCCGGCCGGACGGAGTCTAGTCGCACGGGGGCAGTCAAACGCGCGTCCACCTGATATGTTTCCCCGAATGGTCGAAACCAAGCGGCAGGCAGAAGGGGCAGGGGGGACGCCGAAATGTTGGATTGAGGCCGGTGGTGAGGGGGAGATGGGGGGCGGAGGGCCAACCGAAGCAAGCCCCACCACACTCTACGGGGCCAGTGTTCTGAGATCTCGATCCCTTTCGTCCAGGTCATGAGAAAAGCTCTTACTTTTGGCAACGGGGACATGCATGTACTTTTTTTTTACGGGCGGGCGGGCGGTGTGTACGGGGAGTGCGACCAGAGGTTCACAGACCAAGGAGCACGACTTCCCCAAACCCGCAACACGTGAAGGACAAACACACCTACTCCTCCACCGTTATGCTCATTGCGAGGCGCGTCGGTCTTCCTCACGTGGGCAATCGAGGTACACAAGTGGTGGTAAGGGCGCCTTCGTCAGTGCCACGGACGGGATGCGGCACCAGAGGCAAACACGCAAAATGCGGGCAGGCGCACGGGGACCCCCCCCCCCCCCCCCCCNCCCCCCCCCCCCCGACCGTAGACACAAGTCACCACTCTGCCTTTTTACCAATGCGCCCGTAGACACCATTCGCACACTCCTGCCTGCCTTTGTTACCGCTGCACCGCTAGGCTTGACTACACGTTCGGTGCGTACGCACCTGCGCTGGCATGCAATCAGGAAGGGCGTAGCCCCGCATTCTTCGCAGCGCGGGCGCCACGAACAGGTGCGAGCACACCAGGCTGCTCGCCGGGTTCCCCGGGAGGGCGAAGATCAGGCGGGGCCGGGTGGGGCCGCCGCCGCCGCCGTCGTCGCCGCCTCCCCCGGCCGTCGTCGCGAAGGTCGTAGGCTTGCCGGGCTTCATGCGGATTCGCCCGAAGTGAACCGTCCCTAGCGACTGTGTTTTCGCAGCGTTCGTCCACGAGAACATGTATTGAGGCGAGAAACAAAAGGTAGCAACATACCCTAACTCCGCGTGGACACGGAGACACACTGCGGTTTCATTAAGACAACACAGGACGGCGTTTTTTGCCGCAAGGCCTGTGCCGGCGGCACCGGGAAGACGTTACGGGCGGGGGAGGGAACAAGAGAGAGGGATAGCAAAAGGATTTCATCGTCGCGCTAGTTTTTCCGTACCCGAATGCATCGATTACTCCCCTCGTTTTGTTGTAAAAAGGTGGAGAGTGGCGCTTGGCTGAATGCTACAATAGTGACAAAGGAGACACCAGCGGCAAAACAAAAATAAGCTCCGATTGTGACTCCACCCCGCAAGAAAACCAACAGCTGGAAAAAAAAAAAAACTTGTTACATTCAACACACGCATAAGGCACCTCGAGGATGGGCTTAAGCAGGTCGGCCTCCCCCATGGAGACCCCTCCGGAGGTGACCAGCACGTCGCATTGCTCCAGGGCCGCTTCCACGGCACCCTTGAGCGTAGCCTCCTTGTCCTTAACAATCCCCAGGTCCACGGGCACCCCACCCATCGAAGCCACCGCCGCGAGGAGGGTGGCTCTGNGGGGGGGGGGGGGGGGGGGGGGGGGGGGGGGGGGGGGGGGGGGGGGGGGTGTACTCATGTCAACGCATGCCGTAGGCGTTAGACCATTGACCTCGCATCCGTACAATACCGGGAAGGGGCGATATGCCGGGTTTTCGCAACACCCGGGGGGGGGGATATAAGCTATCAGGGGAGCCAGGAAACGCCTCGTGGTTCTTGACAAGCGTGTAGTGTGGAAGACCGTTTTATAAGCATGGCAAGACGTCCCACCCCCCTCCAAACGGTGACGAACTGCCGGCGGACGCGTCGGCGATTCTCAGGACGGCGTCTTAGCCTCCTGGCATCTCTTCCACCGGAGGTATTGCTGTAAAATAGCGGCCTCTCGACCTTTCCTTACGACAACGGCAAGGTACTGTAGCAGCCTCCGACCCTCCGATTGGCAGGGGGACTAACCACTTCCTTACAGCAAAAGGCCAGCAGCAAAGGTCATTCCATCCACCTGTTGCTGTCGCGGATGAAACCGCCGGAAATCTTATCCCCGGGCTCCACCAGCTCGTCCCCCGTAGACATCACGCCAACTCTCGGACGCGGAATAACGGGCGCGTCAGCCACCCCTACCGTAGCCAGCAGTCCAATCTGCCAAGGGTTGATAAGCAGGCATAGGGGGGAGGCTGGGGACACATCGAAACACAATACTGGAGTTCCTGGACGATGCGCTTGGCCCTCAAAAAGTGTGCCCGCAAGAACACGCCCAGTTGTGCACAAAGTGCGCAGAGCAAACACCAAGGCACAGAACCAGCAGAGGATTTACGAACATACAGCAGTAACGAAGGAGTGCTGATCAAGCGGTGTGACCAGGGCCCGCTCTCACAAAACGTCACTTGATATCCCTGACGACTCAGGCCCCTACCGTAGGCGACGGAGCAGCAATTTCCCAAGGTCGTCGTAGCCTTATCCCGCTACACCGGGCAGGCAAGCTTGTGTCCGCACGAACCCTTCTCTTCCAATACACTTGTCATCCACTCCCCTGACTAGTTCAAGAGTACATGTGCAATAACGTCAGTAATGGGAAAATATTTTGCGACACAACTTGAAGAAATCTCGCGCAGCAAGGGAGGCAGGAAAAAGAACACCCCGCCCGTGAGCATAGGCAGAGAGAGAGTACACTTTGGGACCAAGAACGCCACCCGCTCGCCCGCCTTCCTCCCGCAAAAGCACCCACCTCAGCAGCTTGTATGACCTCGCCGGCCCGCAATACCGTCGCCCCCTCTGTGATATCGTGTCCCACTGGACGGACGCTCTGCGCCGCCCGCACCCCTTTCAAGATTCGCACCGACTTCTCCTCCGCGCTGAAGGCCGTCGGGTCCTCGCCGTCCACTGCAGCCGTGTCCTCCACCTATCGGACGGCAGATAGGCAAGTAGCAGGCAAACAGGCAGGGAGTGAGACCGGCAAGCAGACAAGCAGGCAGCGTAGGTGGAGACGAAATAAGGAAAATGCCTGCCTACCTTCACACCGAGCAGGCAGCGAGGGAGGGAAGGAGCAAGCGGAGAGGGGCAGGGGGCTAGACCACCAAAGCACAGGTGCTACTACCGCGGCGAGAAAACTTTCCGTTTTTAGCGCCGCGAGACCAGTGACAAAAAAGCACGTAAATGTTGTAGCAGCATCATGCTTCAATTCGACAGGGACATGCATGCGCGACGGCAGCCCATTCGATCTTCCTGAACACCAGGGGGCCAACCCCCTGTGCGACGTGGCGTGTGCGTGACTCTCTCGTCAACACATCATGCACACCTGCACCAAGCAGCCACAGCACTATTCCTTCATCATCTCGCACGGGGCGATCGCTGCCGCTGCTACTACTACACGCCTGAACCACGCCAAGAGACAAGGCTATAGAGGCAACGAAGAACAGGGTGGCGGGTACAGGGTTGTGTCCGGGCCGGGCAGGATCTGCGCTGCAAACAACAACATCACGTACACAATAGGCTGTTGAGATTGCGCGTGTGCGGTCTTGCGTACCCCTGACCTGCAAACAACCTGATGCGAGCAACACTACACCTTACTACAGCCTCAAAAACATCAGATCTGCTTCAACACTATAACGATAGTGGATGCCACGCCCCCCCCCCCCCCCCCCCCCCCCCCCCCCCCCCCCCCCCCCCCCCCCCCCC